CTTTTTTTCTTAACAGATAATTATAACAAATTATCACTAATTTCAATTGGAAAGCGTTTCTTAACCCAAACAACTTGCAGAAACTAGCAGCTCTCTCTCGTTCTTACGCTCTTCTTTTGTTTGGCTCTCCTGCTAATTTCTGCTAGTAAAATTTTTACTAGCAGAAACTAACAGCTGTCAAAATGGATAAACAAAAATTCGCGCCAAATATTTTCAATAGTCAAATACATCGATCAGCTGATTAATTGCTAGTTTCGGCTAGTTTTGCGTTTCTTTACTTCTTCGTTATTTCGGTCTCTGTGAGCTAAATTCTCACGATTGAGAGAAATAGATGTTGCGCCAATCACGGTACCGCTATTCCTCTCTCAGTGAATTTGACAGAATCGTTGTTTGTATGACGTCACACTTGTGCAACTTGTTTACGTTTTCCCTGCAACATGTTTTCTTCTTCTTCCATTCTTGCTCACGTTTTGGCATTTCTCTCTCGCAATTGCACCAGTGTGACGTCACACAAAATTTATTCTCAAAAATCTTCTCCTCTTGTATTCTATCATTGTTGCTAAATTTTTTTAATTTTCTCATTCTTCTTCTTCCTGATAATTATCTGCTAGAAAAGAAAAGAAACAAAGCCGATGTCTCGATGCATCGACTATTTATACATCGAGTTTCGAGTTTTCGATGCATCACATCTCTAATTGGTACAAGAATATATATATATATATTGTTTTGACGTATCTATTTAATAAATTCTCGAAATAATCGTCAAAAATTGTCAAATTGTCTAAAAAATGGTTGTGCCGATGCCAAATCCCACTAAAGACTTGGTACTTAAACTTATGGGCGAAAAGGAAAAACTTGAATCCAGAATATCCGAATATGGTGTTATTTTAAGAAATGTAAGTCCGTTTCTCTATTGATTCTCGTATGTGTCTTAAGCCTTTTGGATTATAATTCTGCATATATGCTAAGTCATAGTTAGCAATCGAGTTATTTACTCCCATACTTCCTATCTGTAGAATGACGATGTTGGAATGCACGGAACTTTGGTGGATGCAGATGGATTTCCGCGGAACGATATTGATGTTTTTCAAGTACGGCAAGCGCGCCAACAAATAATTTGTCTACAAAATGATCACAAAGCGTTAATGAAGGAAATTGAAAAACAAATGCATAAATTACACGCAGAAGCAGCTGAGGAACGGGCACAGGGATTATCACACAAAGCATCAGGGATGCATTTGGAAGATGATAGTGAGATGTCAAATACCAGTAATGGGTCCTGTGCTTCGTCAACAGCGCTAGCCATAGCCAAGGTGAATATGATAAATCCTGGCTCGCCTGCTGAAGAAGCTGTAAGATATAAATTAACATTTGATGATGCAAAATATTTAATCACATTTTTATACAGGGTTTAAAAGTAGGTGATGAGCTATTGGAATTCGGCACAATTAACTGCAGAAACTTTCAAAAAGATTTAATTCAATTTGGCATCATTGTGCGCCACATGCAAAATCAAAGAATTCCACTGAAAATAAAGCGAGGAAACCAACACTTAGAGCTGATATTAATACCGAAAACATGGAGTGGTCGAGGACTCTTGGGCTGTAATATTGTACTTCCCGATGTTTGAATACTATGCTGTTGACCAATCAAATATTTTATTTCCCTACCGGAAGAATATATACTATACTCCAACATGTACAATTACATT